CATTTCATTGGTCAGAGAAAGTCTTTTATAGTAATTAGAGACGAAACGAAAAATTTTAATGATCTTCGGATACCTTTGAATTACTTAAATGTAATGTTTTACAAAGATACAAAATGTTACAAATTGCTTTCGTAAGAAGGAACATTAAAGTAAATAATTATTCTGATCAAATGTATATTTTTTTTTTGTATTTACATTCCGTTTCACCTCTTTGGTGGATATTTTGTATGTAAGTGCGATTGTCTAGTAAAATGTCTTATCCGCACTCACGACATAGGAGAAAATCTTAGTATGAGATCTTGTCTGTCGATATATGGGACACAATAGACAACGCATTGTGTCTCACGTAGATCTACGCTCCGACATACCGGAACACGTTAAACGCCATGGGGGTCACCGGTGACTGGCGTTAGCGGAGGATTTAAGTACCTTTAACAGTTTTTTATTGGCAGTCAAAGTCTTAAATAAAACTTAACTAAATAAATTTGTCTAAATCAAAAGCCTAAAATTTCTTACTTATCAGATGCTAAGACAGCTAGACAAGATGACTGAATACTAGATTCTACACCAAAACAGAAAGCATACAAACCACAAAATTAAACAAACATAGGGCGATTTCCTCATAAATAATGGAACAATTACTCATATTCTCTTGTAGAAGACAAGGTAAACAAATTACGTTTGCTCTAAAGCCAGGTTCTACTCAAGCTCCGGCTGATGAAGGCATTGCCGCGCTTAGTATGTAAGCTGACAGTAGGATTAAAGACGTACGCGAGGTGGAGCCACTTACCAACATTGCCATTTGTAAGGGTCGTGTTGCAAGTATTAGGTATACATATACTTTTATACTCACCTATGGAAACAAAGAAAATTAATCACACTCGTATTATAAATGTGAAACTTTCTTTGTTAAGATGTTTGTCAGTCAATCACGCTGAAACTGCCGTGGAGGACTTAACGGGATTCCGGCCAGGAGTAGGAACGAGGTGGTTTTTAGTCAGTAAGAGTCTAACACTCCTCCCGCCTTACCCAGGCGGGAGCAGTCATTCGATGATTTTCCCCCCTAAAAAAAAATCACGCTGCTGATCGGATTTTGATGATAATTGATATACTTACAGGCAAGATATATTAGGCTAACTTAGGTGATAAGATACATTTATCCCGATTAAATGCTGGGATAAAACAGGAATCATATTCTACGCGGACGAATTCGCGGGCAATAGTTCGTGGTTAGATATTTTTAAAGTTATTTAGAAAAAGTAAAGTCAGTGTGAATTCGATTTTTATTAATATTACTTTTTTAACGTTAATAATATAGATATGGTAAATATTTTAGTTTTTAGTTATATTTTAAGAATTGAATTCTATGAATGCATTGTGTATTTCGAAATTAATAATAATTTATTTGAATGTACTGAGGTAAAAAAAAAGAATTCGATTTATAAAATCTACATTCAAAAATACTTGAAACTCAAAACTAATGCTTTGGAAAGTAAACCTTATCATAATGTACTTTAGACTGTAATCTATATCTTTTAAACACTTTTAAAATACAAACAAATCTACTGTACATGATTACATCATAGACTAAGCAATGTTTGCCGCAAACTGACTGGGTGTCGCGTCGCGTCATGCAAATAAAGTAATGAAATGCGGGTATATTTACAAAAGTGTAAAATCGGACAGTTGACCAACACATACGTAGTTTTAATTTTCGTTTTGCAGAATAATGGTTATGTAGGTTTTTTTAAATTTAAAATACATTAATTACTATCTACTATTATTAAATAATTTAGAAAGTTTTAAAAGTTTAGAAAAAAAACTAATCGTTTTTTTTCATGAACGGTGATTTGCTTAAAATAATTCCAAATTCAAAAACCTCAAGTAAATGACATTTTACCTTAAAGGTGAGTGACCTTCTATTGATATCGAACAGTATGCTAGTTGCAGGACCTTTGTCCGGCAGTGGACGTTTTCCAACTGACCGCAATATTGATGACGACATCGTGATCAGAAATTCAACATAAGTAAATTTGTTACAGCAAAACAAATTTAAATTCACGATTCATATGTCAAGAAAAGATCAGGAACATAATCCTCCGAATTCCGCAATGAAATATCACCTCACGTCTGTAGGTAACATGTCACATTATTGTAAAACGTAAATCCTCTAAACACGAATTATGCATTACATCACCAGATAAGACATACCGACGGCAAAATATTAAAACCTTTCACAATGTTCCGAAACCCCGCAACAGCTAATTACTGTTTATTTTATTGGAATTTTATCTTTATTACAATGTAGTTAAGAGTCATAGGGGTTGTGTATGGAAGTTCTTGAAGCGAAACGAAAGCTCGCGACATAATTGCGACTGTACCCGGAAGTTAATTGCGTGTTCGCTGTGAAGCCGCGGGTTGGGATGATTCAAGGATCGTAGAAATAAGGGAGATAAGACGAAGGCTCTAACCATACACCCGTAATTATGTATTCCGAAATGCTTATGAGCACTGATAAAGTATAGCTACCTGTTGTTACTGGCAATCGTGGTTGTTACAAGTTAAATTGAGGTTTGTTACAGTTTGAAGTGCTTTTGATGGTTCTATTGTTATTATCAAATCAAATCAATTTATTTGCTGAACAAAAGTGTAATGCATATTAGAGTGCCGCTCGCTAGCCGCTCGCAAGCTGCGTGCGTGCATTAAAAATTATTATTTACTAGCTACTTACGCGCGGTTTCACACGCTCTGCTTGACTCCTATTGGTCGTGGCATGATGTTTTATAGTCTATAGCCATCCTCGATAAATGCGCTATCCGACACAAAAAAAATTATTCAAATCAGACTTGTAGTTACGGAGATTAGCGCGTCCAAACATTGCCGTGATTGCATCCTTAAGATATACAGATTTCTTTGTAGTATTGCAATTTTAAATAAGCAAAGGTGGCCTGGTGTATATCTGACCACAATTTTGTATGATATTTTGCTTTAAACTGCAAACTTTATTCCCTTATTGCTTATAAGTTAGCCACAATGTTAAATCATTGGCAGCTACTATGAATTTTAAATGTCGTGGTGGCCCGGAGTTTAAAGACGCATGCTTCTCATGAATGAGGGTGCCGGTTCGAAACCTACCAACGGCTAGTATCAATGTGACTTTTTCCGAGTTATAAGTAGGTACTTTCTAAGATTATTTAGACACCACTGACAAACGGTGAAGGAAAACATCGTGAGGAAACCTGGACTTATAATTTCTTATTATGAGTTTGAAATCGCCAACCCGCATTGAGCAAGCGTAGCGATTAATTCTTAAACCATATCCGTGTCGCGGAGAACCTAACGGGTAACCGGGGCTCCGGCTCGACGTGCAGGAGAAGGAACGGGGTGGTTTTTAGTCAGTAAGAGTCTGACACTCCCTCCCGCCTCACCCAGGCGGGAGCAGTCATTCGATGATTTTCCCCCCTTAAAAAAAAACCATGTCCGTGTGAGAAAGGGCTTTGCTCAGCAGTGGGCATTTAATGGCTGTTGATGATGATGACTATGAATTTAAGCCAATGATTTTTAACTAGAGCCCACACTATTTCTATAGTGTCATGGTTAATCATGAGTTTAATTAATTATTAGTAATACAAATTTTTCAATATGAATGTCATGTGTCTTCATTATCATTGTCAGGACTCAGGCTCAGAGCTGGAATAATAATTTGTGGACCACTCTTATAATTATTACTAGACCTTCACTGGACCGAATCTACGACACGTTCTGTAGTGATGGTAGGCAAAATAAAAAATCTATGTTTAGCCCTAAAAAGTTCAGGTTTCCATGCATATCCTCTATTTCTATCGTTCTTGTTCAGAACAGACACGTCTAACATAGAACATAAGTTGGCAGACGCTAAGTTATTAAACCTATTACTGAACATTTATAATCCAAGCCTGGTTCGGCTGACATGCAACGTGTCGCGGGTTCGATTCCCGCACGGAACAACACTTTGTGTGATCCACAAATTGTTGTTTCGGGTCTGGGTGTGATGTGTATGTGAACTTGTATGTTTGTAAACGCACCCACGACACAGGAGAAAATCGAAAATAAAAAAGCACTCATTCATTCTTTATAGCTATCTATATAAATAAAAATAAATTTTCTTTCTTTAGTGTAGCTAAAACTCGAGAACGGCTGAATCGATTTGGCTAATTTTGGTCTTGAAATATTCGTGGAAGTCCAGGGAGAAGGTTTAAAAGGTGAGAAATCAGTCGGGTAAAAAAATATTTTTGAGGCGGTACGAAGGTTGCCGGGTTAGCTAGTAACTTATATACCTATCTACTCTATAACTTATATATTATTTTGAAGAACCGTCATTATAGACACAATTAAAGAACAATAGGTTGCGGTCACCGGTGTCCTCGCGGTGTTTGACAGTTTACTTATAAATAGTTAAAAATGTTAATATTCCCCATTACTTACAATAAAATTTTACTTTTATTATTATGTTCATTTATATTAACTCAAATTGTAATAAAAAGAGCCGTAAGAGTTCAACAAATTTTTAATTTAATTTTCGATTAACAGGTTACATTACAAAGTCGAAATTATTCATTTTTTACAATTAAATTATAACCATTAATTTAAATTGTGTTTTCAGTAGCTTACCTAATTTCAAATATTTTAACAACTATAATTATTAGTTAATCACAGGGTAGTATTCAATTTTGTATAATATGGTATAATTTTCACAATAATTGATCTATGTTATTTTATAATAGTAATATTATTTGTTGTTTTTAGAATTAATAACCTAAATAACCTAAAAAATCAAATGTTCAATTCTCGTAAGCAACTTAACCTGATATTTATTTTTAGTCTTACCTAATATGTCTATGAGATGACACATTATTAACACAATTGACAATTTTTCAATGAAATATTTATTTTTAAATTTTAGCATAACAAATTCTTCAATATGAATAACAAAATATTATGTCCAAAATAAAAAGCTAGAATCAAAAATCGAAGTCCTGGTATCCTAAAGTACGATTAGGTCTTCTAGTCATTTGAGTTGGTTGAGGACTTTTAGGCATAATGGACACTCGTCTATGAACGCCACGCAATGAACTCGGACTTTCGTCAGGTCTGGCTCCAGGCATTATGGAGAACCGCCTGCAATCAATAAAATCATGACCTTTGTTGTGATACTGGAATATAATACTTTTTTCCACCACGCATTTGGCAAATACAGCAGCAGGGTCCCCTGATAAATTGATAAACAAAAGGCAGGTGCCTTTTGATTTCAGGGTTAGCTCGCCGCAACCTCCCAAAACTCCTGGAACTTTTGTAAGCCAGGACCTACAGTACATACAACCATGAAAACACCGAAACACTGAAGTCCGGCGCGTCAGTCATCAGGAACATAAATAACTGTCTTGGTTTCCGCAACGAAATAAATCAGATCTTATAAGAAGAGAAGAAAAAAAACGATAGCTTCGACTTCCCTCGGTAAATTACTGCAGGAGACAGAATGAATTAAGCCTAAAGACACAAAAGAGACTGACAACTACAACCTGCATTTTTTTTTTGGACAAGTCGCCACTATCGCCCAAATGTGGACATTATGGCAAACCCTTATAAACCTACAACCCTTAACCACTTAAATCGTTGAGATAGTAATTATTTCTTTAAACCGCATTATAGAATCTAATCAACTGAGAATTGAAAAGATAAAAAAAATATATAGAATTTTGCGAGGATGAAACTCGACACCTCATTTTCTACAGACTATGGTCATGACCTTTAAGATACAATGCCTATATTATAATATAAACAACTATGTCACGCGGTGACGGGTGTAACTAAATCCGTAGGGTTGCCATTGCCAATGATACAAATGAGTTTGACAGACGTTAGGTCCTGATAAGCCCCAGTCAGACATCGGGTCTAAACAAGAATATCGCATCACTCAGGCTTTGGGGTTGGAGGTATTATCTTCAATTAAAATACTGTAATCCCGAATAATCTGGCTAAGATTCAGTGACCCTGAATTATTTGTTAATTTTGCTTCAAGGTTAGATGATTAAAATATAAAACTAAGTTTATTTTGGTGGAATGATTGTAAATCTGTACTCGAATAATTGTCGACCTCATCGTCCGCTTAATAAAATTAACGTGTAAAAGTACTGCCTTGTAGCCTATTTGCAGAAATAATTTCACTTGTTGTTTGTCAAAAATTGTATCGTTTGTTTGTATTGGACAGTTTCCGAAGCTAATAGACAATCTTTTTGTTTCAGGGGCGCTGCACATGCTCATACTCGCACTCGTTCACGATCCTGGGCCAATGTCCCTTTGACATTGATGGGCACACGTATGACCGCCGAGTCGTACATCAGTTTTTACTATTCGTAGACAAAAACAAAGTGAATGGTATTATAACATTGGCGCAGTATCGTAAAGAAGTGTGGTGCACCAGAAAGCCACACTTCAGCACGAGTGGGGCAGCTAGACCTGGGTGATACCACAGCTTCACAAAAATGAACCAGCGTGAAATAACGCGTGCACTCTGATTAGCCATATGAGTGAGATCATAGGAGTCCCAAACCCTCATCCCATTCGATTCCCACAAAAAGGCTCTAACTCTTCTAGTGTTACGGGAACCTAAGACGTAACTTTATGATAAGTTTTTTTAACATTACTTAGAAAAGGTCAATAACCTGCTGAGTGGTATAATAGACATCCTCTTGAACAGATGTCTGGCGGCAGATCGTAAGTCGTCATCTTGCATCAAGCTGACCAAATCTTTTTCACGTTTCTCTAAAGGAGCATCCGTGGCGATCACTTCACCTTCCAAAGATACGTTCACACACTGTAAATAATGGATTTTGAATTCTATGGTTCTAAATCGAAGATTCGTTTTCAGTTGACCTATATTTGCGAATTACCTTCATAATGGATTTTCAACAATTTCTGTCATAAATTACCTTTTTACGGAAGCCCAAAGTAATTTTGTAAACTAAATTGGAGTAGATTCGTAAAAGAAAAACGAGTTAAAAAGTTATTTTCTCCGTTTAGACACAAAAATACATCGAGGCATAAAATTCTCCGTATTAAAATTAACATGAAGTTAGTTTCTTTTTACTTTTTCATGCTCTCGGTTTGCCAGCTTACGGATGCTATGAAGCACTTAGCTTATCAAAAACGAATTACAAGAACATTCAAAGCAAAATTCTTTTAGGACCCGTATGGTAAAAATTTAAAGAGATTAGATACGTAACGCTAAAATAAAAAAAACTTTTATTTTCCAATGCGACATACATATTCTTATCCTATGAGTTGGGGGCTTTTTTTTCTGTATATTACGTATATTTTTGTTCAGAGTCGGAACAACAACCCTAGTTGCAAGCTATTACAAATAAATCTTACCTCTAGGTAAAAAAAAAGAAAAACATAAAAGAGTCTCCTAACTCCACAACAAAAGACAATCAACGCAGAAACCGTTAAAACGTTTAATTACTTTCAAAATTCGAACAATGTATTCTCTGCGGTATAGAATACAGACGACAGCAGATAACCTTACTCTTTTCTGTCAAATAAGTATATTCGATTTTGTACTTTAACTTTTTTGGATAAGGTCGAAAATCCAATGGAAAAATTGGCAGACTGGAGTAGGTTGACTTGCAGGTGTCTGTACAATGTTCAGTAAAGTACCTATTTAAGTTTTAAGGTGCTTACAGTTTCATAGAAGTCGGCCACTTCCCTGTAGCCGTAGGAGCGGGCAAGGCCGGCTGCTTCTAGCAGCACTGCTCGGGCTTCGGGCCGGTTGTTCTGCAGGAGATGGCAGCGAGCCAATAGGAACTGCGCGTTTAAAAGCCACGAACGCTGATTGGATGCTTTAGCCTCTGTGGAGTTTGAAAGTTGTTAATTATATGACCGCTGTACTAATATGAGTGCTTGTACTGTGAGTTAAATACACAGGCATGTTAAAGTAATGTCTGATGTTAGCACTCATTCTTCTTTTTATAGTTGCAAATGCTATTTACCGAAGAATCTAACCTAATCTATACTAATATTATAAAGAGGAAAGATTTGTTTGTTTGTAATGAATAGGCTCCGAAACAACTGGACCGATATCAAAAATTCTTTCACCTCTGGAAAGCTACATTATCCCCGAGTAAAATAGGCTACATTTCATTTTGAAAAAAAAAAAAATTTCTACCCCGTGCGAAGCCGGGACAGACTGCTAGTACCTGATAAATATGTAAATTCAAAATTGGTCTAAAGTCGGTCTATTTCCAAATTAAAGCTAGCAAATGGATTCAAAGTCACGAAGCGATTTCTAAAATGGCACCGAACGTTCCGGACTTTGGCTACTAACAGATAATCAAAGACGTAGTTGTGGCAGGTCTTTCAAAGTTTGGGGTGCGGTGCCAGAAGACCTCCCCGTGGTGCACCCTGGGTACGGGTGATAGTCTCCCTAACGGGGGTGATAGGGTTGGAGTGACTATTGTCCGTAGCGGACTTCTGGACAGGGCGGGCGAACCCGGTATGGGTTCTGGAGGCGACGGGTTTTGTCCCTGCGCTTCCGAGGGGTCGCTCCTCCGCCCGTCTCTCTGAATTCAGCAGAGAACGTGGCGGAGAGGCAAGGGCAGAGCTCGTTGAGCACTCACCCTGCCAACGAGCAGCATCGGGACACACGCTGTTCTCGATTGCATCTGTCGATATCGTAATCCGTGAAGAGATCGTGTCTTATGACTCCGAACGGGACGAGGGTCTTGGCTTGGTCGCCTGGACCGCGAGGAAGATAACCTCTATAAAAAATTCCTCCAATACCAAGTTCTGGTGCGCGGCGAGGGTATGCATGGCTGAGGAGTAGTGTCAGTCGTGAGCGCACCCCCAGCTAGGGTACCGGTGGACCCTCTAGTTGGGAAACAAATATACACTTACCCAGGTACAGGGGGCACTGCCTGGGCGGACCGTTTATTTCCCCCATACTCGTGGGACTTTTATGGAAAGTACTAAAGAAATTATTAAACCACCAATTGAAGAGGAGGAGAGGGCAGGCGAGCTCAGCTCGCCCGTACAAAAACAAATGCTGGTAGAAAGCGGCGAAAAACGGTCGCGTAGGACGTCTTCTGTTAAGAAACGTCCTGCATGTCAATCTTCAGACGAAGAAAACATGCCGGCTCCCAAGTTACCAACTTCGAGGAGGGGGCGGCAGGTATCGAGAGGGGTGAGAGATTCACAGCCGCGAAGGGATAAGCACGGACGACTCGTACGTTCCAATACCTCGGCGGCTAGTGAAGTAGAAAGTGACATGGGGGTCACTACGGACGACCCTGGCGAGGTCGGTGAAAGTGGTGCTTCGCTGGGGAGCTCAAAGGCGGAGCTCAACGCCGCCAAAAGAGAACAACGAAAAGCCGTCGCGGTTGACGAAGTGTCGGAAATGTCCCGACGCGCTCGCGAGCGACGAGCAGCTCTGGCGGCGGAAGGAGGAGAGCCAACTGCGGTGGCCTTGAGCCAGCTGGCTCTGGATGGGGTGGACATAGTCCTGAAGGTTGCCACCAAGTCCTGCAGCCTGAAGGGCACGTTCGTACGAGGTTTAAAAGAGGCTGCCACGGATATCAGGGAAGCGATTGGCACCCTCCTCAACAGAACTGCCTCTGACGAGGTCGCGAAGTTACAGGAGGAAAATAGCCGCCTCCGAAACGACATCGAAGACCTTCGGCGACAAGTGGCTGCGCTAAGCGAGCAACAGCAGCAATGTGTACCCACTATTGCCGCACCTATAGTGGCCCCAACTCCCGTATCGCAACCGGCAATCCCTCGCACTGATGAAGAGGTCGAGCGAATTGTCCGGCTCTGCATGCTCCAGTGTGGGAGCATGGTAAACGCTCGGCTGGAAGCTATTTCCCGGCGTCTTCCAGCGGAAACCCTCCGTCCGCCTCTAGCGGCTGACACGCGGAGGAATGAGGAGCGGCCGACAATTGGGCCTCAAAAGGGGAAATCCACAGAGGGAGCTCCTCCAAGCGACCAGCCTACTTCTGCCGGGTCCAAGGGTGAGACTTGGGCAAAAGTCGTAGGGCACAAGAAGGCCCGCAAAGCTGCCAAGAAGGCCGCAGCAGCTGCATGCCCTCCCGGTGAAAGCGCAAAGGCGGTCACGCAGCCTGCGCGGCGGACCGCCAAAGGCGGTCGAAAAGGACCGACTTTACGTGCCCCGCGTTCCGAGGCTGTCACTCTCACGCTACAGCCTGGGGCTATAGAGCGTGGCGTAACGTACCAGTCGGTCATTGCCGAGGCCAAGGCCAAGATCAAATTAACAGATCTTGGTCTCCAGTCCGTCACCCTCAGGCAGGCTGCCACGGGTGCACGACTGTTCGAGGTGGCTGGTGCTACTACCGGCAGTGCCGAAAAGGCAGACGCTCTGGCTGCCAAGATGAGGGAGGTCCTTAACTCGGAGGACGTTCGGGTCTCCAGACCAATGAAAACCGCAGAGGTGCGGATTACTGGCCTGGACGACTCCGTAACCTCTGAGGAGGTGGTGGCGGCCGCTGCCCGAAACGGCGAATGCCCGCCGGACATGGTGCGAGCTGGTGATATCCGCGCCGACGCCTCCGGGCTCGGCGTAGTCTGGGTTCGGTGCCCTATAGCCTCGGCGAAGAAGCT